TGTCCAGCTGAAGTTCACGTCTAACCCGCTGCCCTGCTTTCTCTGTCAAGCTGTCCACATCCTTCTCAGGGCTCCCCCCCAGCCCCCAGGAAAAGGGCCAGTTCTTTGAAGGGGTTTGCCAGGCGGGCCCTTTGCGATCTGGCCCCCGACCGACCCAGGCAGGGCCCTGCCCGCTGTGAGCTCTGCCTGCGCCTGCGCCTGCCTCTGGCGGAGGCCGCCTCCCAGGCCTGGAACGCCCTTCTCCACACAAGAAGCCCCGCGTGTGCCGAGGGGCTGCCCGCGCGTTTCTCTCTCCTCCTGGGGGTGTGGGAGGGATGACACATTGTCTGATGCGAGGAATGGGGAGTCCCAGGCCACCTTGCACAGGACGGGCGGGGCCGCAGGAGCCAGATGGGTCTCAGGACCCCCTCCACCGCGCTCTCCGCACCTCGGGTGGTCCAGCTGCATCTAGGGCTGTTCTCTCTCTCTCTCTCTCTCTCTCCCTCTCTCCCTTCTCCCTCTCTCCCTCTCTCCCTCTCTCCCTCTCTCGCCTTCGTCCTGTGCAAGCCCTGTCTGAGCGTGGTGCCCCTCAGCACACAGAGGGTTAAGTCAGCCTTGGCGTTGGGAGCCGGAGCCCGCGGAGTCCTTCCTGACAATAAAGCTAATCACTCCCTCCTTGCCGGTTTCTCCGGCACAATAACATTTAATCATCATTTGCACAGCAGATGAGAAGTTTGTGGCAGATGCAATTCTGCCTGAACAGCGATTTCTCCACGTGGGCACCATTCTTGCTGTCCCCAGCACACCTGACAATCTGGGGCTCGGGCACGCCCCCCCTCTCCCCACCCGGGGGGGGGCGTGTGTGCCTCCACGTGCCGGGGACCTGACTCCCTACACGTGTGGGAGGCGGGCTTTGGAGGCACACGGCTGTGCGCCTGCGTGCTTGTTGCTGGAGTTAGGCACGCGGGCATGCCTGTGGTGAACTCCGGTGGGCCCGGGGACGGTGTCTGGGAAGCTGCGAGCCGTGGGCGGAGGCCAGCAGATGCCCGAGGATGCTGGGCATTGCACGCGTGTGCACTTGGTGCATAGCCGAGCGCTCGCGGGAGGATGCGTTTGATGTCTGTAGGGGTTCACGCAGATGACGTCCGCACACACAGACCTACGTGCTCACATGTGCAAGGACATCTGTGGGCGTCGCGCCCGCGAAGTGAGCTTGGAATGACTGCTGCTGGGGCTGCGCCCGCTTTCCCGGGCATGCACGCGTGCAGAAATGCACGGCGCACAAGCACGCTGGAAGGAGCACGTGTCTTGTGTATTTGAATGAGAGTCTCTGGGGCCACGTGAATGCGTCTGAGTGCATCCCTGGACGGGGAACTACGTTCCTTCATCGAGAAGTACCGCTGGACACGCATGGACATGCGTGCAAGAGACCCCAGCCATGGAAATCCAGAGAGCACACGTGTGCACACCTAGAGCTTGCCTATAGTACCTGCACGGCGTGCCGGCACGCAGCCACATTTGCACACCCGTGTGCTCTGTGTGCGTGGCTGTGAGCATGCACGCGTGTGCACAGTGCACACCAGCGCGCGGGCAGTGGACCGTGAGCCCTCCCCCCTCACAGTAAGGGCTGACAGTTGCGTTTTCCGGAGGCTCAGCGGCCAGTGACAGAGCTGGCCTGCGAGCGGTCGCTGGCAGGAGGTAAGTGGAGCTGCTGACTCGTGACCCGGCAGTGGGCCGCGATGACGGCCGGCTTGGCTGACGGGTGCGGGCGCTCAGCCACCCCTGTGACAGCAGGCGGCTCTCAGAGCTGTCTGCCTCTGCAGGCAGGAGGTTAGTACTTGACCTCTTGTGCTCAGTCCTGGCCTCCCACCGTCCCGGCGCATGTCCGCAGCCCAAGCGTGGGCTGTGACCAGCCTCCTCCCCCCTTGCTTCCCAGCCCTGCCACCCAGCCCAGACAGCTCCCCGTCTCCCTCTGCCTCTCTCCTCTCCAGAGCCCACCCCCTAGAACCTCTACTCAGAGTCTGAGTCGCCCAGGACCTGAGCGGAGCTGTGGCGGGGGTGCACGTGGCCTGGTCCTGACCCCTGGCGAGTCTCGAGTCCACCGGGTCCCTCAGCTCATGCTCAGAAAATAGAGCTGATAAAAGCACCTGCTGAAAACACAACCACTTGAGCACAGTGCCGAGGGCAGTGAACGCCCAGTGCCTCCATGGGGAGCAGGGCCCGTGTGAGTGTGAGCCATGTGCAGTGTGGGCTGGAGCGCCTGGCACGCAGCAAGTGCTACCTAAGGGTGCACACGTGGTCAGCGTCCTTGGTTCTGCAATTCGTGGCTAGTGACGCATCAGTTCTCGCTCAGGACCCTGAACCCTCCTTCATCCCGTGATAATGGTGGTGAAGGTAATGCGGTGATCAAGGAGACTAATTTTCCCCCTTTGCATTGTCCTGTGCCTCGGGAGGCAGGCAGGCCTGGGGAAAGGAAGTCCCTCATCCTCAGGCTCCATGACAGAGCCGGCTCTCCCGGGTTGAGATGATTTGGAATTCTGGGGGAGGCTGCGGGGAACCATGGGGCTGTGTCCCCACAGGAGGCCCCTTCGCTGTGACCCCAAGTCCGCAGGAAGGAGCACGAGGTGCGTGGCGTGAGTGGGCGCCTTGGGCGACCCCGTGGAGGGGCTGGACTCCCTGCAGGCTGGCTCAGCGCCCGGGCAGACAGCAAGTGCGCACTGCCGCCTCCCGCCGCACCCTGGAAGGAACGGGCACAAGTCCTGGAGGCCTGGGGGTTCCCGCGGGGCCGTGCAAGGTGGGGAGAGGACGGGGGCACAGTGACTCCCGGAAGCTCCCAGGTTTGCCCCGGGGGTGGGCTCTGGGGTCTGAGCCCCGGAGTTTAGATTTTAGCATCTCCACTTCTTTGTTGTTTGATCTCTGGGCAAGTTACCTTGCTCTGCGCCCCAGCTTCCTCACCTGTACTACAGGGGCTGCCCCGTTGGGTTGCCACGGATCGGACGGGATCGGTGATGTGCAGTGCTCCGAGCCACGGCCGTCCCAGCACTTCACGCTTCCACGGGCTCATGGAACATGTGTTCTGCACGTGCGCGGTGCAGGTGAGAAGCTGGAGGCTCGGCGAGGCAAGGAAGTTGGCCACAGTCACCCGGGGATAAAGGGCAGGGGCAGGGCGAGAGGAGGGAACTCTCGATGAATCATGGTCTCTATTTCCCGCCAGATCTCCCGCCCCGTGGGACTTTGGGGTTTGGACCTGGACTCCATGTGTCTCTCTGGACGTGGGACTTTCCTGTGACCTCCTTCCTGGCAAGGTCACAGTTTGTCAAAGCGACCAGTGTGGGTGGGAGAACAGACTTGGAGTCAGGGGACCTGCGTTGTCGCGGCCGGGTGCACACCACCCGTGTGGCCTTGAACCTGTCTCTCTTCATCTGAGTCTCCCTTTCCCCTCTGCACCGGAGACAGCAACAGCTGAGCCCAGGACTGTTGGCTGAGACACTGCCGTGACGGGGGACGCTCCCACGCCTCCCTACTGGTCCCCAACGCGCCCACCTGTAGCAGCAGCTGCAGGAACTGTGGCTTAGGGGTCCCCAACACCTTCCCCCGCCCCGGGGCTATTTCCGAACCCCGCCATCAGCCACCTTGGAGGGCCTCAGAAGACGCTCAAGCCGAGCCGGGCATCATGGTCCCTTCCCCTGGCCTCCAAGTTCTCGCCACCCACCCCCCGACTTCCTTGCTCACCCCTCTGCGTGCCTCCACCCCGAGAGCCAACTCCTGGGACCGCATGGCCCCCCTCAAGCTGCCCCATGTCGCCTGCCTCTCCCCCTCCCTTTGCACCTGATTGTCTGTTGGCCTCCCACGCTCTTGCGTGCCCATCTCATATTCATTCTTCAAGACCCAGTTGAAGTCACCTCCTCTAGGAAGCCCTCTAGGAATGATTCAATCTTTCTTCAGGGTTTCCAGGACCTTGTTCTATTAACTCTGCGATGGCGCTTACCAAATGCACCATCGCTGGCTGTTTCTGCTCCCCGACCCTCCTCCCCCGGCTCCCCTCTCCCCCCTCTCCCCCAGCCTTTAGGTTTTGAGCTGTTTGTCATCTGGTGACCTTGGGCCTCTGCTTCCTCCTCTGTGAAGTGGGCCGACAGGTAAGGCACTCGGGCTGTACTGGCCGTCTCAATCTATCACAGTGCACCTTGGCAGATGAGACAATGAATGAGAGCTGCCAGGGAGGGTGAAGAAATATAAGGCCAACGGCACCTGCGGAGCACTTCCGGTGTCAGGAGGGCACCGAGGTGGTCGCTTCACACCAGCACCTCCTTGCAGCCCCGTGACACACATTCAGGCGCAGGCTCGCATCAGTCCCATTTTCCAGATGAGAAAACTGAGGTTTCGGCAGCCGAGGATGCGTGAGCAGCAGGAGCTGGGGTCCCCATCAGACCAGCAGGGGGTAAATGAGTCACGTGTGTGTGTGGGGGGGTGGCTTTAGAGCCAGAAGTGCCCAGCCCAGAGAGACAAGGTCCCCGCGGAAGCCAGCAGCTTCTGGCCCCTCCGCCTCCCGGCAGCCTAAGACCGGAGCAGCAAGGCTTGGACCTCGCTGGCCCCCTAAGTGTGGTCCGGGGTGCCCAAGCCTCCTGGCTCACGGAAGCCGTCTCCAGCCGGTGCCAGTCAGGGCAGGTTCCGGAGCCGGCACCCTGGGGATGCTGGGAAGGTGGGGAGGGCAGCCGGGGACTCATGGTGCTTCTAGTAACGCCCAGGCTGGGGCGGTGACAGAGGCAAACACTTATTGAGCACCTACTGTGTGCTAGGCGCTGTCTTAACTACTGGATGAGTATCAGCTCCGTCACTCTCCCAACCCTCTGGGGTAGGTTCTATTGTGAACGTCACTTCACAGAGGCCCCGGGCCAGGCAGGGCTGCCCACTTCCTGGCCACAGCCACTTCTCTGGGGGAGGTTCCTCACCTGCCACCTGCAGGACCCCACCTCGTGGTTTCCATGACGATGAGATGGTTCCAGCACACAGTAGGCGCTTAGTAAATGCACAGCCTTTTTATCCTCTTAGCTCTAATGGGGCTGGGGGCGTTCTGGCTGCAGCAGCCTGCCCCCTTCCAATGCTACGACGCCCCCCGCCCTGCAGACCCCAGAGCCACGCGGTGCCGGGTGTCGTCTCAGCTTTAATGACGTTGGTCACAGTTCCGCACCTCGGGTCCCCAGAGCTGCACCCCCCGGAGGAGGCGGGCGGGTCTGGGGGGTCTGCCCCTGGCCAGTGCCCCCTCCCGCCCGGCTGCCCTGGGTGGGAGTAGGAATGAGGGGTGGGAGAGGGGGGATGCGGTGTCCCCGGGCCAAGGCCGGCCCCGGGAGGGTGCGGGGCTAGGAGGCCGGGGCCTCGTCGTCCACGCGGTGGCCGGCGTAGAGCGCGGCCAGGGGCCGGAAGCGAGGGCCCCAGCTGTTGAGATAGGCGAAGTCCTGCTCGGAGGCGGACGAGCCGCTGTGCAGCGAGCTGAGCGAGGCGGCCGGCGAGTCCGCGCCCTCGAAGGCGTAGGTCTGGAAGGCGTCGTAGGGCGGCACCGACAGGTCCCCGTCCGCCAGCGCCACCTTGCGGCTGATGAAGTCCCTGAACACCGAGAAGTCCGGCTCGGGGCTCGGCGGCTCCTGCGGCAGCGGGAGGCGCTCCGAGGGCAGCCGGGCCTGCGCGGGGCTGCCCGCCCCGCCGCCCGCGCCCGCCCCGCCGCCGTCGCCGCCCTTGAGCTCGCCGAAGTCGTAGAGGCTGCGCAGCGCCGACATGTCGTAGGCCTCCGTGTCCTGCTCGCCGCCGCCCTCGTCGTTGTATTTGATGACGTTGTCCCGCATGTCCTCGTCCTCATCCGAGCTCAGGTGGCTCTTGTGGTGGCGCCGGAGGGTGAGGATCAGCAGCACCAGCACTGGGCAGGAGAGAGGGGGGCGCCGTGAGGGCTTGGCCCCGCCCAGCCCCGCCCAGCCCCCCCCCCCCCCCCACGCCGCGAGCGATGTTAGCGTTTTTAGTGGTCGTGGGGCTGCGTTTAAGCCCTGCTGTTTCCATCCACAAGCCAGGAAAAGATACCCTCGGGAGGACTCTGGGCGCTGGGGGACTCCCAGGAGCAGGGCCGAAAGCCATCCTTGACCGTGACCTTTCACCCTCAGCTGCCTCTGTCCCCTGAGAGCTGCAGGCCAGGTTCAAGGCCTTCACCTCAAGGGTTCCTCCCTCCACCACACCTGTTCCAAGTGTGCCCCTGGGAACGCAAACCCTCAGGTCCTGCCAGGCCTGCAGGGGCCGCCCACATGGGACAGCCACACCTGTCCCCTCCCTGCTGTGTCAGCGTGTCTGCCAGCCCGCCCTCCCCACCCCACCAGACACACACCCCCTGGCTTCCTGCCTGCACTGCAGTGGGCACTAAAGCCTGCCCAGGAAGGACTGAATGGACCTGGGCCAATGGAAGGCAGGAGTGGGCGCTCGCCCCTGGCCTCTCATTTAAAGCCAGGACTCAGTGGTCCCCTCCCCTCCCCCCAACTCCCACCCCTTCCTCCCTCTTGCAACCGTGCTTGTCTCCACTGTGGGTGCACGTTGGGTGTCCCAGGGTGCAGACCGGGGCCTCGGGTGTCCCAGGGTGCAGACCGGGGCCTCGGGTGTCCCAGGGTGCAGACTGGGGCCTCGGGTGTCCCAGGGTGCAGACCGGGGCCTCGGGTGTCCCAGGGTGCAGACCATGGCCTCGGGTGTCCCAGGGTGCAGACCAGGGCCTCGGGTGTCCCAGGGTGGAGACCATGGCCTCGGGTGTCCCAGGGTGCAGACCGGGGCCTCGGGTGTCCCAGGGTGCAGACCGGGGCCTCGGGTGTCCCAGGGTGCAGACCGGGGCCTCGGGTATCCCATGCAGACCATGGCCTCGGGTGTCCCAGGGTGCAGACCATGGCCTCGGGTATCCCGTGGTGCAGACCAGGGCCTCGGGTGTCCCGTGGTGCGGACCCTGGCCTCTCTTGCTGTGCTCCTGCCTACGCCCCTGTCAGAGGCTCACGGCTCTCGGTCCACGGCCTGGCCCCCTCCTTGAAGTCTACGCCATCCGCCCAATTTCCTGCTCAGCACAGTGTCCTGGTTGACCAGGAGGATCTTAACCGTGAGCTGCCGAGGGTGAATGAGGAACGGGTCCGTCTCCCCAGTCCTCAGGCGCCCCCAGGTCAGCTCCAGCTTTACAATGACTTGGGGTTTTTCAGTCTCTCTTTCACTGAGTCTGTGTCATGGGAGGGCCACGCAGGTGCATACAGCAGTGCATTCTGGGGGCTGGAGGAGGACGGATGGACACGTGCTGGTGACTGCGCCAGGCACGGGCCTCTTCCTGCTGCCCCGGCTGGCCCAGTGGCCAGAGCCAGCTGCGAGGGCCATGGGGCAGCATCCCAACTCAGCTCCTAACAAGGTGGCTATGACAGGGCCAGGGACGGATCCCCAGGGAGGCCGCCGGCGAAGGCAGGTGTCAGGAGCGAAGTGGGGAAGATGGATGGACGGCCTGGGGAGCGGGGGGCTGGGCTGCCGAGGAGGGCGCCCGCGAGAGCAGATGGCAGGGCTCGTGGGCGGCGGGCGACAGATGTGCCAGGCCTGATCAGCGATTCCGCCCGTCACCTTTACAGCACCGATGTGCACTTTCTCCGTTTGTGGGCAATTAGGCAGAAATTTGTTTGCACTGCCTCAGAAAATGAGACCGCTGTAAAGTGCACCCGCTGGAAAAAAGGGCTCCGAGCCCTGGGCTGGGGCGAGGAGCCGGGGGGGCCCGGGCCTCTGCAGGGACCTAGGGACATGCAGCCTGGCCACGGCAGGCCCTTGCGGGGGCAGCGGCCTCACCTGTGGGCAGCGAGGGCTGGGAGGCAGCTGAGCAAAGCTGCGATCCGCACCCTGGGCTTGCGTGAGGCCGTGCGTCCCCGGAGGCAGAGCAGAGGCCGTGCTGCGCCCGTGTGGCCACAGCTGCGGCAGTGGCATATGGCCACGGGAATCCGATCTGGGGACGGGGAAGGGGACACTTTGGTGTCCAGAGGGTTGGTGATGAGGCTGGACGTGCACCTCCCCCCCACTCCCCAGTGTCTTAAGATTTTGCCCGAGGGGCCCCGACGTTTGGCCCTCAGCTTAGATTCATGGCAGGTGGTATAGTCAGAGAGGCAGGGGACAGCCCGAGCAGTCCCGATTCCAAGTCAGAAGATGCCCGGTGCTCTGTTACCCAAGCTACTGGACCTCTGCGAGGCACGCTTCCCCCATTTGAAAAACAGCCGTGTGGTCGTGAGCTCTCTTCACCAGCAGTGGTACCCAGGGAATACAAAAGGGCTACAGGCGCGGAAGGACGGAGAACACCCGCTGGGGTGGGCGTTTGGACGCTGGCTGAGGTCCTCTCGCAATGCCTGCATCCATGTTCGAGTTCCGGCTCTGAGCCCTGGCTCTGCTTCCAATCCAGCTTCCTGCTAATGCGCACCCTGGGAGGCAGGAGCCGACTGCTCACATACTTGAGCCCCTGTGCCCAGGCAGGAGGCCCCGATGTCTGGAGCGGGGAAACTGGCGCCTCCCCCCCAAGGGTGCCACGCCTGGGGCTGGGGTGGGGGTCGGGGTGGGCGGCTTGCGGTGGACTCACCGACCAGGATGAGCACGCAGACCAGGAGTGCGATGAGGGCGCCGGGGCTGAGGGAGGCCGCCATGACGAAGGCAGTGGTGTTGCAGGACTGGATGGCGCCCGAGCTGTCGCAGCCGCAGATGCGGATGGTGAGGGTGCCCGTGCTGCTCAGGGTGGGCGGCCCGCTGTCCACCACCAGGATGGGCAGGAAGAACACGTCCTGCTCCTGCCGGTTGAAGCCCACGTGCTGTGTGTGCACCGAGGCCGTGTTGTCTGTCCGGAAAGGGATGGGCGGTGGCATGTGACTTGGGCCCGCCCAAGATCAGCCCCGCATCCTGTCCCAGTCTCCCTGATCCCCACATTGCTGCCTCCCCCTCTACTCATGACAACAGTCCCTGATCTCCCCATGTTCTGCTCCCAGCTGTCCCCCAACTCTGCCCCCAGCAGCCACGCCGCCTGCAATGCTGTTCTCAGCTGTGCCAGGTTCTGGCCCCAGCTGTCTGGGATTCTGTGTTCAGCTTGTCTGAAATTTTGTCTCCAGCTGTGCCAAGGTCCTGTCCCCAGCTGTGTCAATTTCTTTTCTCAACGTTCGTCTTGGCAGCCTGTATTTATCCTCGATGCCACCCCGCTGGACTCTGACCCTTGGTCAGAGCCTGGGTTTGCGGGGCCCTGACAAGTCCCAGGTCATGAGAAGGGCTGGGAGCGCTGCCTGGCGGCAGTCTCAGCTGGAACATCTTTCTGTCCTTCAAGGCCAAGGTCAGGCTTGGTGAGGGCCGGGGCACGGCCTCTGGGGGCCCTGGGCTGCTCCCCTGCGTCTTTCCTTTTTCAGAGGTGACCAGAGAGGGCGGTGAAGTGACACACGCGGTACTTAGGGCACTGCTGCAGCCTGCGGCTGGGAACGCCACGTGGGACTCAGGGGCATGGGGGCGGGGGGGGGCTTCAGGGACACGTGGCGCCGTTCCCTGCCCCTCCTGCGTCCTCCACACCTGTCCTGTTAGACACAGGTCTCCCATGACCTGGATGATTTTAGTGGCCCTTCTCGGTTCCGTGCAGCGTGGTCCTAGAGCGCACCCAGCGCTGACCCAGGCTGCTCCATCCTTCACAGCCGAGTCCGCACAGGGGCTCCTGCTCCCTGCCTCCATCCTCAGGCTGCTCTCTCTGGCCTGAGCCTGTGCAGCCTTGGGTCCCTTCCCCAGCCCAACCCCTGCCCGGCAGCCCCTGGGTCTGGACTTCCTCATCATGGACACAATGCGGGGTGGGGGGAGCCCCCAGGGAAGGCTGATTGTGACCTTGGGCCATCTGGGAAGTGCCCAGGAGTCCAGATGGGACAAGACTGGCCCTGAGTTGCAGGCTGCTCGCAGGGTGGCAGGCACGTGGGGGTCCACGCGATTATTCTACATTGATACACCTTTGAAAATTCCCACTCAAATGTCCAAGCCTATCATTTACTGTTTTGGGAATCTCACTCAGCTTCTTTGGATCGCTTTTCCCTCATCTGTAAACTGGGAAAGAGGGGGTCCCATAGGTGTAAGGATTAAATGTGTAATTGGCGCAAAACCCTGATTAGCGTTTGTCTGTGCCAATGCCACTTGCCATTGTCTCCGGCTCTGCCCACGTTCCTCTGCTGCCCTGTGCACCTGCTCCCAGGCTCGGCTGCCCTGCCTTTACCCTCAAGTCCCCACTGCCTGGAACGCCCTCTCCTCCTCCTTGCCCGGGCAAACTCCTCATCCGTCACGCTGCAGCTAAATGTCACCTTCTTTCCTGTGGCCTCCGTCCTCCGCCTCCCCGGGAACAGAGGATTTACAGCCCCCCCCCACCCCCCGCACTCTGCAGGTGCATTGCACAGTGCTGTCACAGCCCTTGTCACGTTGTGTTACGTTCCCGTGTGTCGGTGTCTCCGCGCCCCGGGAGCCAGGCCTGGCACGGAGCCGATCTTCAAGAACGATGCTTGAAGAAGCTGCAACTTTGGGGCCGCCTGTGGTTCTGGGTGGGCGCCTGGAGCTCCGGCTGGAACTCCAGCCCTGCTGTCTGAGGGTGGGGCAGCCCGGGCTGTGAACGTATCTGCCTTCCGCTGGCGGGGCAGGGAGGTTCCAGGGCAAGAGGGAGGAGAGAGGGGATGGGGCGGGACTCCTGTGCACTGGTTGGCAACTGGATGTCTTTGTGCATCATGGACTCTGTGGCCACTTGAAACACAAAGCCGGGCCCACGCCTCATGGCCACCGAGAGTGTAGCCTCAGCCCGATTTCATGCAGGTGGGCCCTGGGAAGTGTCTGGTCCGAGTTTATCCAGTGGCTTCGTCTGCCCATCCTCCATCCACCCTTCCTCCCTCTCCTTCTTTCCAGCAAATCCTCACAGGCTACCATGTGCCGGGACCATGCTAGCCACGGGGGCCGCTGAGAGCTAAGCCGGCCACAGTGCTGGATCAGAACGCGTGTTCTCACATGAGGACAAACGTGCATCAAGTAAGCCTGCAGCTCAGCGGATAGTTACAAACCTTGGGAGTGCTGTTCAGGAAATACAGGAAGGGCACAGGACAGAGGACATGACCCAGCCTGGGAGGCCAGGGAGACCTTCTTGGAAGGTATTATCCCTAAGCCCTGAGCAGTGAGTTCTGGGAGAGGGGACAGCTTGTGCAAAGGTCCTGAGGTTGGAAGAAGTACAATGCACTCCAGGAACTGCAAGCAACCCTTGGCGGCTGCAGGAATGAGGTGATGGTATGGGTGAGTCAAGCTGAGGCTGGATGGGGAGACTGGGGCTTATCATGGGGCACCTTAGAGGCCAAGGCAATCATTCTGAATTTACAGAGAGAGAGAGAGAGAGAGAGAGAGAGAGAGATCTTCCATCTGCTGGTTCGCTTCTCAAATGGCCTCAATGGCCAGAACTGGGCAGGTCTGAAGCCAGGAGCCAGGAACTTCCTCCAGGTCTCCCACATGGGTGTAGGGGCCCAAGGGCTTGGGTCATCCTCTACTGCTTCCCAGGTGCATTAGCAGGGAGCTGGATTGGAAGTGGAGCAGCCAGGAATCAAACTGGTGCCCGAAGGTGGCAGCTTTACCCACTAAACCACAGTGCTGGCCCCTGGATTCTTTTCTTTTTTAAAGATTTATTTATTTATTCGGAAGGCAGAGTTACAGAGAGGGAGAGGCAGAGGAAGAGAGAGAGAGAGGTTTTCCATCCGCTAGTTCACTCCCTAGATAGGCGCAATGGCTGGAGCTGCGCTGGTCCGATGGCAGGAGCCAGGTGCTTCTCCTGGTCTCCCATGGGGTGCAGGGCCCAAGCACTTGGGCCATCCTCCACTGCCTTCCCGGGCCACAGCAGAGAGCTGGCCTGGAAGAGGGGCAACCGGGACAGAATCTGGCGCCCTGACCGGGATTAGAACCCAGTGTGCCGGCGCCACAGGCGGAGGATTAGCCTAGTGAGCCGCAGTGCCAGCCAGGTTATTTTCTTAAAAGCAATGGGAGGGGACCGGCATTGTGGCATAGTGAGTTAAGCTGCCACCTGTGATGCTGGAGGTCCATATGACTTCTGCTAACACTCCCGAAAAAGCAGTGAGTGGTGGCCCAAGTGCCTGGGCCCCTGCTACCCATGTGGGAGACCCGGATGGAGTTCCAGGCTCCTGGCTTTGGCCTGGCCTAGTCCCAGGCATTGCAGCCACTGGGGAGTGAACCAGCAGACAAAAGATCTGTCTCCCTCTTTGCCTTTCAAATAGATAAATAAAATCTTAAAAAAAAAAAAAGCATTGGGAGGCCGTTGATCGGTGGGCTTTGAGCAAAGAAGCAGCCTAGTGACTCATCCTTCATGCCGCGGGAACCACACATGGAGCGTGAGCTCCGCATCAGGACTGCTCCGGACCCTGGGGTACAGCAAGGGACAAGGCAGATGCGGTCCCTGGCCGTGCCGAGCCCCCATGCTAGCCCCGGGGGTTTGTAATGTAAGATCAAGCATGGGTAGCAAGACGGGACAGGAAGCCAGTATGCGTTTGGGGTGCGAGCTCACAGTGGTAGTGGAGCCAAAGAAGACAGATCTGAGCGCTGACCGACTGGCTCGGCCTGATTGCCAAGCCAGAGCAGACAGCTGCGCTCAGGGTTGCTGTCTGGGGGCCGTGGAACCGTACGTTCTGCGAGCTCTGCCCGCCACCCCTCCTGCCCCGGACAGGGAATCCCTGGCCTCATCCCTGACCAGCAGGTGCCCTCCTGGGTTCTGCTGGGGAGGCTGCGGCCATCCCAGACCCCTACCCCAACCTTCTAGGTGGGACCCGCGCCCAGCCCTGCATCCATCCATCTGGCCTGACATACATCAGTGTCAATTCCTGGCTGCGAAAGCAATATTTATAAATCACGTTTCCAAACTGGCTACAAATTTGTACAAAGAAACAGATGGGGTGGGGTAGCCGCGTGTCACCTAGGATATTTATATGGCGAGGAGGAGGGGGCTTGGCGTGCCGCGGGAAGGGACCGAGGGGCAGGCGGGGGAGTCCCTCTGCCGTGCTCTGACCTCAGCACGCCCCTGTCGCCAGAGCTCACACAGGCTGATCACACCGGAAGGGAGCTCTGGCGGCCCCCAGCCACCCGGGAGCAGCTGCGGGCAGAGCCTTAGGCCCCCAGGGCTGGTGAACCTGGCGAGGCTGAGGCAGGGTTATCTGCGTCTGCCGAGGCCGGCTCAGGACTCCAGCGGAATAATGAGTAGCTGTTGCTGTACTGGTTGTTAACGTGCTGGACTGCTTCCAAAGTGGTTTAAACAGCCACTGCTCGGGCTGGGGCTGAGCCCCACCCCAGGCCTGCTGGCCGCCTCAGCCTTTCCTGCAAACAGAACCCCAACTTCAACACCCCCGAGGCAATCGGGGTTCCTGCGGGCCACAGTGGCAGGTGTGGAGGGCGTGGGGGGGTCCTGCCCCAGGTCATAGACTGCAGCCTTTCTAATTGGTTATCTGAGCTGCACTGGTTGGTAAGTATTTTGAACAGGAATCTGGGAAACAGATGGGTCTGGCTTCAGAGGCCACCATGCCTCTCTCTCTGGGGAGTGAGGGATGGACCAGGGTCTCGAGGGGGTACCAGACCTGTCCTAGGGCCAGAAGGAACCACCATGACCCGGCCCCCATTGCCTCTGTGACTGTGTCTCCCCCACGCTCCAGCCACGCAGGTCTCCATCTGTTCCCTGTACATCTCAGCCTCTCTCTCACCGCAGGGCCTTTGCACCTGCTGTCTCCTCCACCCCGATGGTTCTTTCTCCCAATATCTGCGTGGCTCATTTCCTCATTTTGTTCTGGCCGCTACTCGCTGTGGGTTCCCCAGGCCTTCCCAGATCGCCCTACTTAAAACAGCTTCCCCTCGAAAGCCCTCGCTTCATCTCTCCAATCTCATTTTATTGCACACCTACTGCGTGGCAGGCACTGCTCTAGGACCCAGGGTCCAGCCCTGAACAAAATCAAGTCCACACTCTGTGGAGACTGCATTGTCCACATCCGATCCTGTCAATTTCTGTCTTGTAGAATACAGACTAAGTGGGGATTTTGTTTGCCATCGCCTTTCCGGGGCTCAGAGCACAGTCCAGTACACAGGGGTTGTGTCTTTATAAATGCCCAAGAGCATGCTTAATAAAGTATTGCTCAACGTACCAGCCGACACATTGTGGCCCTAACAGTGTACCTGGGTACCCTCATCTCACCGGGCCGCTGAACCACCAGGGTGGGGGCATTACTGGTCCCACTTGCCATTGGCTGAGCCAGGGCCGGACGTGGATCCCTCAGTCCTGCTCCATTGACACCTGCCTCCCCCTCAGTTCATCTCTTAAGGGTTCAGGTTTCATGAGGAACTCAGGTGGGGGGGGGTCTCCTCTCCGTTTGCTTGCCAGGTGAGCTAAGGCGGAAGCATACCACATGTGGGACTGGTGTGGCTTTGACTCCCAGCCCCCACCGACCCCCTGCAGGGCCCCGGGCTGGCTCTGTTTACCCCTGTCCCAGTGTCATTACCCACAACACAGGGCAGGGTGAGACGGCCACCTTCCAGGTGGCCCTGAGGCTACCAAGAGAAGTGAGTGGCAGGCGCCTTCTTAAACCACGAGGGGCAGAGTGTGTGCGGGTGGCTCGTGGCGGCCTGAGAACAGGGCTCCTTCCGCCCTGGACTCTGGCCCACCTGCTCCTCATCGGCGCCCTCTCTGGATCTGCCAGCCCTTCCCCTGGGAAGCCCATACCGTGCTGTGCTTGGGGGCTTGGCCAGGGGCTGGCAAACAGCCTTAGACCCAACTCCCGCCCTCCACCCCTCACCCGGGGAGAGGCCAGGCTCTGTGACTCACGGACAACTCACCTTGGATGTCGAGCAGAGAGAAGTGAGGGTTGCTGGGAGCCTCAGGCACCAGGCGGAAGTAGAAGCGGTGCCCGCCTTGGGGCTCGTCCCTGTCCACCACGCTGATGGTCTGGATGAGCTGCGGGCCGAGGACGGAGCTGCTGGGGACTCGGCCCAGGGAGAGGGTGCGCCCCTCCCCCTCCCCGCCCCAGCCCCTCCGCGGTACCTGGCCAGGCTTGGCATCCTCACACACAGCGGCCTCGTAGGGTGTGGCCAGCTCTGGGGGGTTGTCGTTCACGTCCAGGATCCGGATCCTCAGGGAAGCCCGAGACAGCTGGGCGTGGTTGTCTGCAGGCAGAGCACAGCAGCGTGGTGTGGGTTGTGGGCCCCAGGCAGCTCCCTGTCCCTCCCAGGACGGGATTCCCAGTGGGGTCCCGCTGAGAGACCTGTGGGACGAGGACCGTGACTGGGAGTCGTCACTGTAACCATCACCCGGCCGTGACCATGACCATGGAGCCTAGGGGCACCAGCACCACCTTGGCTCCATGGTGACTGCCAGCACCATGATCAGTGTCGTCACTACCGGTCCCACCTTCACCTTCACCACCGTTAGCTTGATCATCACTGCCTCTACCAATGTAACTCCAGCACCGCCCCTGCCTGCCGCACCACCCGGTCACCGTCGCCACTGCCACCACTGGTCCAGCCCCATCAGCACCGCTGGCAGTGGCCCCTTGGCGGCAGCAACAGCACCACCGCTTCCCCATAGCCACTCCAGCCTCCACTACCAGCCCCGCTGTGGCTACCGTGACCTCTCCAGGGTCACCAGTGCCCCGTCTCATCAGCCCCATCCCCAGCACTGGCACCACCACGGCCGGCTCCACCCCACGTCCACTGATGCAGGGGGAACGTCCACGCTCGTTATCAGAAACCCTTTGGGTGGGCCCAGTTTATAGCCCCGTATGGCAGAGGGGAAACTAAGACACGAGTGAGCTTGCAGAATTGCTCAGCTGTGGTCGGCGCCGTGGCACAGGAAGTTAAGTTGCTGCCTGTGACATCAGCACCCTGTATCGGAATGCCGGTTCAAGTCCTGGCTGTTCCACTTCCGATCCAGTTCCCGATGACGTGCCTGGGAAAGCAGCAGTAGGTGCCCCGAGCGCTGGGCTCCTGCCACCCACTTGGGAGACCTGGATGGAGTTCCTGGTTCCTGGTTTCGGTCTTACTCAGCCCTGACCAGCCCTGACCATTACAGCCATTTGGGGAGTGAACCAGCAGATGCAAGACCTCTCCCTCTGTCTCTGTCTCTCTTCTCTCTCTCTGTAACTCTGCCTTTCAAATAAATAAATACATCTTAAAAAAAAAATTGGTCAGTTGGCAAACGAGCTCTCTCAAGACCAGATTCTGAATGAGCCAGACAAGTCTGGGACATGCACTTTGGTCGGCAAAACCATGAAGTCTTCATCACTCCACTGGGGCGTCTCGGGGGTGTGGCAGAGAAGGCTCTAATACATTTATTGAATGAATGAATGAATGAATGAAGCCAGGGGACTGGGCCTGAAGGATGCTTGAGTCCCGGGTGTGGCTGTGTCCCCCAGTGTGTGAGCTCCTGAACATCCTGCCCTGTCCACACCTGGAAAGTAAACAGACACACAGGCCTTCCACGTCCACCTCCGCCGCCTGGGAGCCGTGGGATCCAAGTCCGGTCACTCGGCCTCTCTGTGCATCTGTTTTCACGGGTCTGAGAGTAGCAGGGTGGTTGGGCAGCAGATCGGATTAACGTAGGCAGAGCACTTACAACTGTGTACAACACACACACGGCAAGTGCTGGGATTTGTTCAATAGAGACGTCCCCAAGGGTCCTCCCGGCGATGACACAAAGCGACTCCAGGGTGGGCCACAGCTCGCCGCCATCCCCTCTGCCAGGTGCCCCCTCTGCCCTCAGAGGGAGGGGCTCTTTGGTACCCGCCCCAGCATCCTCCACCTGCCAGTGACCTCAGGGATGGCCCTGGGGGACAAACTCCTCCCCGCTTCCAACAGCCACTTGGATGATGGGGGTCTCTGGGCTGGCACGGGGCTGATCGGGGGCAGCCTGGAAACTGAGTTCTGTGGGGAAGCGGGACCGGAATGGAACCATCAGTTTCTGTCTCTGAACTCTGGGGCCCGCTGGATGCTGCCTGCAGCTGCTCGTGTGTTGATAACGAGCGCAGTGGAGACGGCAAGGCAGGTGTGGCCACCTCCTGGTGGGCCGGGGAAGGAGTGGGGGGGTCCCTAATTAACTCAGACCCGACCCCTCTCCGGAGTTCCCCTTAGCCAAGGGCACCTTATCTTTTCAGCTCACCCAGATCTGCCGTCTCAGTGATTAGAGGGGCTTCTCCGGGGGCGAGAGACAGGAGTCGTGACTGGGAATGCCGGGCGAACCGTTATTTTTAAGAGCGCGCTGCCAGAGAACTTCAACAGACGGCGGCGGGTTCTGCAGGGTGGGGGTGGGGGAGGCTCGCAGCCAGGATCCGGCGCCCAGGCGGGTGGGGGCGGGCAGCCGGGGCCGAGTGCCCTTTCCCTGCGGTGACTGGGTCGGGGGGGGGGGGAGACGAGAGCCGAGAGAAGGGAGATAGTGCAGGCCGGACTGCTCGTGGGGCAGCCGCGATGCTGGACCACTGGTCCCACTGCCCGTGAGACCCCAGGACCCCACCATTGCCTGGCCTCTCCTCTTTGAAAGGACGTCGCCTCTCTGGGAAGCCGCGGCCCCTCTGGCCCAGGTGAGGGCCTCGGATCTCAGGGTGACCGCAGGTGGCCACCTGCAGAGCTTATCCTGGGGCCCCTCTGGGGTGGGGCCGGAATCCTTGGCACTTACTCCCCCACCCCCACCTCCAAGGTCAGCATCCAGTGCTCCTGACCCTGTGGCCGCGGTTCTCCGGCCTGGCTGTGGTCAGTCACCCAGGAAGCCTTTAAAAACTCAAGCCCAAAGCCCCCCAGGGGAATCTGCTGCGCGTCAAGTTTGCAGACCAGCGTCCCCGGGGACTGGCGTGGAGTCAGGGGTCCAACCAGATGTCCCACCTCTGACTCGCCTCCTCCTATCCCTTTCTGACCACCTGAGATGTCTCTGGTATAAGACAGAGACTCCATCAGCTGATCCACCTCGCGCTCTGTGTAGGATTTTTCCATTTATCACCCCCTTTCTTATCTATGGCCTCACTGGGTCCTTCCATAACCTGGGAGGGATGAGCGTTGGGAGCAGCGGTTACGTCGGACGCCTGCATCCCCCTTCAGGGAGCTGGGGTTGGAGTCCTGGCCCTGCTTCTGATCCAGCTTCCCACTAATGCACACACTGGAGGCTGCAGGACGGCTCAAGTGCCACCCATGTGGGAGGCCCAGGTGGAGTTCCAGGCTGCTAGCTTTGGCCCGACCCAGTCCTGGCGTTGCCTGCATTTAGGGAATGAACCAGTGGGTAGAAGGTCTCTGTTTGTCTCTCTCTCTACGTTTCAAATAAAATGAAAATAAAAAGTCAAAATGTTTAAAAAAGTGCAGGGGGTGTTGTTAAACCCATTTTGTGGATGCAGAAACTGAGGCCCAGAGCGGGGTAGGACTTGCCCCACAGCCACAGGTGAGTCTGTGGCAGAGCTGCAGCCCTAAGCCCAGCGTGTGGTCCGGCTCCAGCATCAGAGGGCCCTCCCGCTGCCTGGAGACTTGTCTGTTGGGTGGTGGCTGCTGCTCGGGCCAGGCGCAAGCTGACCTCTCCCGCTGCCCGGCAGCAGGTGCCCCTCCGGGGGCTGGGTCCCCCGTGGCCCACCCCCTTTGGCATCTCAGTTCAGCTGACTGACATGCAAATTAGTTTAATTATTTCTTCTTCTAAAATAAATTATATTTTGCAGTAGCTGCAATATGTTGTGTCAGGCAAAATTACATTCAATATTTTTAAACTAATTGATGCAGCCTTGAGGAAGGCTGATTGACAGCCCGGAGCTGAGCGGGCCTGCAGCCTTAACGGATTCTAAATGAAAATTCAGCGTGCTCCGGCCGGTGCTTCCTCCCGGGCTGGTGCGCCATTAATCCGGGCAGGTGGCAGGAGAAGCCCTGGGGGTCGGCGGGCGAGGAGCAGGGCAGCCCCGCAAGTGCCCCGGGAGGAGACCGACGTGGGGGCAGGAGAAATGTCGGGCAGCTCGCGGCTTGCTCTGGGTCTGAGTTCCTTGTGGGCAGGGCTTGGGCTGGGCGACCTGCAACTGAGAATTGAGGGTTTTTTTTTGCTGACAACGAAGGACTGAGAACCTACTGTGGACCAAGGACACAGCAGTGAACAAGACCAGCAGGGTCTTGAGGTCTGGGGACAGGGACAAACGTTACTCTAGACCGTGACAAGAGTTGACAGGAGCCAGGAGACTCTGGAGCACGAAGTCACACCTTGGTGGGGTGCAGGGATGCTGTTTTGCATCCCTGTTCTGCTGAGACCCGAGGAGGAGGGGTGTAGGGAGGGAGAGATTGTCCTGGGGAGCAGGACCAGCATGTGCCAAGGCCCTGGGGTGTGCATGGGGGCAGGAGGCTGCAGCTAATCGGAGTCTGGATCTCTTCCAAGGAAGATCTCAGCCTCTGGCGGAGTTGCTCACTGGGCACCTGGACCGAACTGAGCCAGGTGGGGAGGCTGGAGCCAGGGCAAAGGGAAGAGGAGACAAAGTCTGGCCTGGTGACCCACTTAGGAACGTGCCTGCTCCCAGGAGGATGGCAGGGGGCAAGTCCTGAGCACCTGCCCTGCCCAGGGTCCGTGCCGCCCTCTTTCACCCGGTCACCCTGTCACCAAGGGAGGACGGCTCCAGTGGGACTGCCATGTGGCTAACGAGGAAATGGGCTCAGAGAGGTGAGGCAGCTTGCCCACAGTCTCGCAGCTGGCGATCCGCGGAGCCGGTGCTGGAAGCTCTGTGGAAGAAGTTTTAACCAGCAGCGGGTACTGTCTTCCATAGCATCTTTCGCTATCAGATTCCTACTTTTCCAAGGCCCCACATATGGCCCTACCTCCTCCAGGAAGTTTTCCTTGATTGCCCAAAGTCAGGACAATCGGAGGATAAGCCCAAGTCCTACATGTCCACAGGCTCCAAGTGATCTCCCTGCCATTACCTCCTGGCCTTGTCCTCACCCATCATCCCTCTCTCTTTTTATGCATTTATTTGAGATTCAAAGAGGGGGGGAGAGAGAGTGAGAGAGAGAGAGAGAGAGAATCTTCCACCTGCTGGTTCATTACCCAGATGGCTGTGAGGGTCAGGGCTGGGCCAGGCCGAAGAACTCCATCGAGGGCTTCCTTGCCGGTGGCGGGGGCCCACGTACTTGAGCCATCATCTGCTGTCTCCCAGCGCGTCAACAGC